TCAGGCATTGGGGAGCGGTCAATTTATTAGATTTTGCGCTGTGAAAAATATAATTCCTTCTGTCTAAAGACTCACAAGACAGTTTCATTTTACTCCCCCCGGGCCTCAGATGAATACTTCCAGTTTCTTCAATTATTCATGTGGATGTGAGTTTTAAATCCTGAATGCTGTCTGCAACCTGCCTGTTTCTTCCTCTTTGTTGTCAAGCTTTCATCTCTAACTGCATGGCTTCTCAAACTGCCTCTGAGACTGATTGTGTATCATTTTGTATCATCTTCCAAATCAAACCACAACTGTGTCTTATGGCTTTCTATTCCTATGTGAGTTCTTTCTAACATGTCATGTAGGGTTTAAAGCCATTGGATACACAGTGGACAGTCAACTTAGGAAATCTGTTTGATGGCTTTTATGACATTATTAGATTTTTAGGGTGAGAAACAAAGTCAATGAACAACAGAACTATAATCATCATTTGGCATTTCTATTGTAAGTTTAGCTTGTGTAGCCTTTTGCTCAACCCAGCTATTTGTAGCATCTAAAATCTTATGTAATGACATCAGGAAGTTGTACCCGACATCTACATCTTTCCTTGCATCAAACATTTAGAGTCGTGAGGCAAACACAGATATTTTGAGTTGCAGCTAACATTGGTTATTTTCCTGCAGATGTTTTGGGAAATGACTGCCTGTTTTTTTTATAAAAGTTGTGACTTAGCTGATGGTGAAGGAAATGAAACAGTTCTTTTCCTGCTGCTGTCAGCTGTCCTTACAACTTCCGTGAACAGCTTACAACTGTCATTACTTACTACTGGGAAGCTTACTGTGTTTAATTTAATGACAAATATAAAATCTTTGCCATCTGTTATTTTAAAGTGGAAGTTGAGGATTTTTTTTAAGTTTATCCCACCGATCGCTCATGGGTCCCCTGTGAGGACATTAAAATATTTTCATTTCCTGAGGAATTGACACCTGTCTAGTTCTACCAATGTTAGTTAAAGTTTATGTAGTATGACATCATTACTGTCTAGGTTTAAACAGATAATGCTGTAAAAACCCCAAAGCTACCAATAACGGCATGTATGCATATGCTGATTCAGATTCGCAAAGAATTAGACCTAATGCTGCTGAAACAGTGTTATTGTGTTTTGCATGTTTTATACAGTGCAATGCTTTTATGTTTTCCTATTAATAAAATAGCGGGGTAACATTATTCACTCTAGTGGTATTTACTTTTTGTAGGCCTAACCCTTGTTTTTTTTAATCGACAAAATAATGACATAATTTAACTGCAACCTGCCTCCTTTTTCTTGTTACCTATTAGCTGGGTAACATTTCAATAGACCTTTTTCACAGCAGCCATTTTGACTTAAAATAGCAGGGTCGGAACCTTAATTTGTTTTATTGGCAACACCTGTGTTTACCCTGCTATTTCATGAAAAAAGGTCTAAGATTATAAGAGAAGTACAAGCAGATAAAATCATTATTTTACAGTGATGACATGATAGCGATGTGTGACTAGGGGCATGAAAACCTTATTGTGTCACAGCTGTAATAGTTGCAATGTGGTGACCTGTCTTTTTGATTCAGGTTATAATTTGAAGAATAAGTAACCTTTTCATTTATCTTGTTTACTTTGCTCATTTGTTACCAGAGACCAGAAAGAAAGAAATATTGTCTGTTCAGTATTCATCATGGTTCTCATTAAGTGAAAGTGAATTAGGATCTAAATTAAAGATTATGTGCTGAACTGTGGCTGTACTAAACCACATAATAGTCACAATTATAACATTTGTTAAATGAAAAATTGACATTTATGAATACCTAATCCTTACCACTTGATTGGCTTAATTTAGTGCTAGAGCTGACTGTTTAATGGTCATTTTGAATACTATTATTGCTCATTTTTGATGGAGGCCAGATGAGGATACCATGCAACAAGATTAAACATTTTAAACAGTATCATCATGGGAACATGTGCGCTTTAGCCAGCTGAGCCATCATAGCACTTGTAAAAAGCCCTTCAAATGTGGCTTCTCATGGTTCCTACAACCTCCCTATCTAGTAGATTTTTTACAAGGATTCCAAGAGCATTCAGCCTTCTGACCGCAATAACTCTCCTGACTTTGAACTTGGAAGTATCCACATCGGACCCCTTCAAACAAAGCTTAATTCTCTGTGTGAAGCAAATATGAGAAAGTCAAGTCTCAGATCACTTTAAGGGTTTTGATTAAAGACTTTTATAGTATCTGTTAACTTTATGCCTTTCAAATATGATCTTTGAGTCTTAGCCTCAATCCTAACTTTAAATCTACTGTATATGTTGTTTTTTTTGCTTTATATGTTCAAAACCATAACAGTAAAACACTTCTGAGGACCAACTAGGGGGTCACAGTATTCACTAAACAGTGATGTTCTGGCTGGGTGAGTTTTAAAAGTGCCCTGTGGAGTTATCTTGTAAACAAACAAAATTTATGTGAATATGCAGTCAGTGTTGTTCACCAAAACACACTGTGTGTATCCTTGAGCTCTGCTGAATGAATTTTCTTCATCATAAAACATTTGCAAAGATAAACAAAAGGGGGACCCACTTATAGAGAGACAGCTCCATGGCGCTACTAGAGGTCAAAAACTCCACAGAGAACCTTGAAACATACCAAGCAGCAGTTTCTTGATCGACATTACCTGCTAATCATTGGCAAACGGCGCTTGCCAACCGAAAAAGACTGGAACAATATTATAAAGGTGGCCCTTCACAATTAAGTGTAAAAACACATCAAAAAAGAGATTCAGAATTCAAGTACACCTGTCTTTTAAATCTAAAAATGAAAAAGTACACATGTTCACAAATGATGGATCCCAATCAGGTCATTTTGATCCACTCAATCCCCAATGAAAACAAATGTTGTTTTTCTCACATCACACTGTGTTGATCCAATCTAAAAACGGTACAGTTGAAGTACAGTAAACAGCACAGCAGGTGATCGAGTCTGTTCAACTCAAACTCAAATATGACTGAGATGTAAACACCTGCTGTCTTGTCATTTCATATTTGCATGCACAGAGCAGCAAGATAGCAAAGTTGTCATCTAATTAAATACAATTTTGCTGTTTTGTCACGATTTGCAACAATGACAAAGCAAACAACCCAGCTATTGTTCAAGGGATCCATTTTGCGTAATCTGTTGATGCTTTCACTGGCATAAAGTGGTATTCAAGTGGTACAATCCTGAAGGGAACATCTTATTCTGTCTAATTTTGTTTGCAACACCTAACACAAAACACAAAGGGACCATTTGCTATAAAAACTCCCCAGTTCTGATTATTATTATCTGTATGATCAACTCTTTCACAGAGCAGGATAAGAGATCTCTCTTCAGTACAAGATGTTATGGCACTAGGGATCTACCAGGTGATTAAAGTCATTTTATACTGATAAGATTGGTCAGAGGGAGGTTTACTGAATATTTTTCAGATGGTAAACATGTTTGTTGGAACAGATGACTGCTGTTGTCACGATACCAGAGCATTAAACTTTGATTCAATACTAGTATAAAAAACTATGCTCGATACCTCTTCCAATACCATGCCAACAAGAAGAAAAAGTCCTAGGCACACAAACTTGGATCAGTATAGTTTTAAATATGTGGTATAGAACAAGTATCTATACGTTTGACATCCTTTGCCTGGCTGCTTGGTTGGAGAAAACCTTCTGTGGCATGTTTGACACCCCCTGCTACTTTACAGACAATCACCTAAACAAGTCTTGTGTTTCATTTATTATCTTTTAACAGGTGTTAGAAAAAGGAACAACTCACCACTTCTACATAGGTGGATGCATCACTTCAGTAAAAATGCAGCAGCAGCGTGCAACAGAGACACCACGACACCAACGGCGACTAAAGCACAGGTCAAACCTGGAGGTCAAAGGTATGCATTGGTTAGGGAGGAGGAATTTGCACTTAAAATTCAACTGTAAGAACTACCTTTGATATTTGGGGTTCCCTAGACCACTTTCACATAGCTACCGTCATTTTGGCATGCCACAGGAAAATCACATAACAATGAATTCCATTTAGCTTCTTTAGTTTCAGTGTTGTGGTATTGTGTATGCTGTCTCACTGTCACACTGTCACTGGAACTTTTGAACACAATTGAGATAATGTTACTGTTTTAGTAACACCTTTCCCACCACTTTTCCTACTTTGAAATGTCTACTGTAAAAACTGTCTATTAAAATTAGATTATTAATTTGACTGGATGAATTTTAAAGGACCAGTGTTAGTGTCATCTAGTGGTTGCAGATTGCAACTAATTTAACAACCTGGGAATGAAAACAGGCTGTGAAGTGTGTAGGAGAAACTACAGTGGCTGTGAAACACAAACACAAAAAGCCCTATCTACAGCCAGTGTTTGGTGTGGTGTCAATTCTGGGCTATTGTACAAAACATGACAGACTCCAGGGAAGGTACATCTGTAGATATAAACGGCTCATTGTAAGGTTACAAAAAACACCCAAATGTTACACACAGGACTTAATTTAACTTAATTTGAAAATTATTTATTTTTAATATGGGCAGCTCCGAACTTTCCTATTCATTGAGTTTCAATGACATTACAATAAACACATTCACATATCTTTTGGCTTGCTAGATATTGTTAGCTAACATTACAGAATAATATTACAATTACAGTATTAAATCATAAAGATTTGAACTAAAAACTGATATCTAGAGCTGAAATCATTGTTCAAGAACATCAAATAGCAACTGAGTTTAAATTCAATAAAGCGTTTCAGTCATTCTTAATGCAAAATGTTTACTGGTTCCAGTTTCTCAAATAAAAAAAACACACACATGCCTCTTCAGGTTTCTATTTTAAAGCTGATGAAAATTGAATGAAAAAGTTCTTAAGGTTTAATTGGACTGTAATGAGCTTAAACCCTAGCCAAACACACAGTCAGCTCACGGTGCTTCTAACCTTATGTTTACTCAGTGAAGACTAAAGCTACTTGCTGTCAATCAAGTCCTCGGTCGCAGCTGTTCTCAGTTCAGTCAGTGTGATCCTCCGACCACCACAAGGTTTCCTCCGAGCACTCCTGTCGGCCACATCTCACTTCAAATACTACTTCTATACAAATATAAAAGAACAAGCAAAGCACTGGCGTTAAAACTAGCTTTAATTCTCCGCGTCGTCGTCCTCCTGCGACATGCCGCGGTTTGAAGAGGACCCGGCTCATCTCTCCAAATCGAGACTGAAGTCGGATTTAGTCGCGCACAGCGTCGCGCTGCCGCCTGCCCAAAGCAAAAAGGACGTTTATGTGGAGTTGCACTTAAAACACATCGACCAGAAAAACGCGGCGGATTTTTCCAGCGATGAGGAGGATCAGGTGCAAGATGTGGCAGTGAGTCGATACAACCTCTTTGCACGATTTGGCCAAATAAAGTGACTTTTTGCAGACAGTTAAAACGTGTTCTGCTCTCAGTCGCAACTGGCTGTAACTTTTAAAGTGAATCAATTTGAAAGAAAAGTTAGAGAAAATAGTGTTTTCTTACTTACTTGACATGTTGAAGGAAATTACATGTTTCTTGGTGAAAGAGTTCTAAAAAAAAAATGCTGCCTTCAAGGACATAAGCTATTTTATTTGTTAATGAGGGGGCCTTGTGCATAATAATAATAATAATAGGCTGAAACTGAATTAAAACGATGCTGTGCAAGGTCAGCAGCTGTGGAGTGGAGATTTGGGTCACTGGCTACCAAACAGTCCTCTCAGCTTGCAGTTTCACTGCATTTCAGCTCCTTGACCACTGAGCCATCAGCTGTATAGTTGGTATAGGTTTACATGAGACGTTCCTTGCAAGCTGCCATTACAGTCGTGTGCATGTGCTTGCAACACCTGTCACACTCATTTATCGAGCACTAGCACTTGGAAGGTCTGGAAGTTGTTTCTGTGCTGTGTCACCCTGTAGGAAGACTAGTCTGTGTAGACATCCACTAAAAGAAATCAACTGTACTGTTAAAAAAAAAAGCATCAATTGGCAAAGTGATATTTTGTATTCAATAAAGCATTTGTCATTTTGAATGGGAAATGTTTACTGGTTCTAGTTTCTCAAATATAATAATTTGCTGTTTTATTTAATAGTATTGAATATCTTTTGGACTATTGGTCAAACAGGCTTTGCTGTGCTTGGTAACTTCTTTTTTACATTTCATAGACCAAACATCAGAAATCTATTTTTTTTACTAGATTAAATTAGAAAATAACTGGCAGATCAATTGATAATCAATTGATAATGGTTATTTACAGCTTTAATGATAGTTGAGTGCTTTCCAGAAGGGATCATTAGGTGTTGTTATGAGGAGCTGTGACAAAGATAAGTAGTAGAGAGCTTTACAGTCGCTGATATCTGCCTGTTGATATCTGATAAGCCCGTATCAACTAAGTAGTACAAGCCTTCTCATAAACTCTAACGTAAACTTGTCTTTCACTTTTTTAACCTATTCTTCTGTGGTTGTTCAGAATAGGTGCATATAGAAAGCAGAAGATTCATACAGTACTCAACTCGGATGAATATTGAACAGATGTGCGAACTGCATCCTTTATGCTTTATATCCCACACCTGGAAACTGCTGGCATTCAAGCTGCAGCCTTTGTCTAAACTCAGCAATTTTTTGTTTTCTGAGGACAAGGAAGAGGATGCAGAGGATGCAGAGATTCCCGACCCGAGTGGTTTGACTGATGACGACCTCAAGGCCGCGCTGCTTGAACGCGGGTTTAAAGCTGGGCCCATAGTTGGTGAGGTTGCACTTACTACTTGTTTTAAATTGGTTTTCATTGTAATAATAGGATTCCTATCATCATGAATGCATTTTTGTGTTTTAATGAATGTTCATCTTCACTCTAGTTTTTAGGCCTGTTTGCCCGTCTTAAAAAAACCTATTGCTAAAGTATTGTTTGTCTATGCTAGCCTCCACCAGGGCCGTGTATGAGAAGAAGCTCAGGAAACTGCTTCAGCCTGATGGACAGGACCATCTGAATGGAGCAGAGAAAGGTGTAGTGTACTCTGACAGCGAAGAGGAGGAGGAGGAGGAAGGTAGGACCACAAACGTCTTAAATTTTGTCTTTTTTTGTTTTGTTTTTATGGTTGGTATTAGATAATCATATGCTTTGTATTATTTTGTACAGGTTCTCAAGGAGCAAAAGAGGAAACTGTTGAACGGTCAGACCAGACCCAACAAGAGAGTAGCCAGGTGAGAAAATTGTAGGAAGTTCTTGATATCTGTTGGAGTTTCTGTGTTAATCAATAGTATCTCTTGAGTTGTCTGAAGGGGAGCTTACACTACCTATACACTGCTGGTTAATAGACGACATCACCAGGTGTATTAAACAAATCTTCCCTACAATGCCACTTAGTGGTTACAGACTGAAACTGCGAAGTTGAGGTGTGAAGGAAAGTGCTCACTCTTCCTTGGAATAAGCACTTGCATTTTGAGTGTTAGTATGTTTTTTTTTTTTCCAGAATGGTGACTTTTTTTATCCGCAGTGCTTTTTACCCTCATCAAGACTGGTAAATATTACGGATATTCATATTGTTTACTCAAAACTCTAAGTTAAACTTTAACTCTCAGGGGACACTGATTTTTTTATTCTTCTTGTGTTTGATTGGGTTGGTCTTTTGTAGCGTGCTCGTGCTTCTAGAAACAGGGAACCTTGTCCCAAGAGGAATTCAGGGAATGCGCTAAAATCATCAGAGCGCAGTCGGTCTCACTGCTCACAGATTCCAGTAGGAATTAGTAGAGCATCCTCTGTAGATCAACGCTCAGGATTAGGATCAGGGGTAGGCCGGTCTTATTTCTCTCCTCTCGTGGATTTTAAATTCTCTGCATTCCTTGCCTAGACTGTCTAACTTTATTGTGCGTCCTTCTTAAGCCACCTAATGGGATATTTGTTTTGTTTTACAGTGATGGGCATTAGTATCTCACTGGGTGTATAGATTGTATGATGATACATGTTTGTGCTGCTGGTTAACATTGTAATAATAATACTAATCCTTGCAGGTTCCACCTGGATCTCAATCAGTTATGCCCAATGGTTGCTCATCATTTTCCTCCCAGGCCTTCAGCATCACTCAAATGGTTGAGGAGGAAAGTTAATCCTACATGTTTTCATTTAATTTTACATTTTGCTGTGAGTACTCACCACCGGGGTGCTCACTCAGTAATGTACACCCTCACCCTGAACAACAGATGGAGAGTCGGAGGTCACTGTCTGTTAGCACAGACACAGAGAGAGAGTTGAATGAGAGCAATGTGCAGGAACATTGGTCGCGGTCCAACAGGGTCAGTAGTGCTTGCGTTGTTCAGTCGCACTTTGAGCTCAAGCTTTTGGTGGTTGTTGGTGTTGGAGAGGTTCACTGGCAGTGGGAGGAAATTCTGAGTAAAGAAATCCAGTGTATCATAATCTGTTCTCCTGTCCTTAGCTGGACATGCCGACTGTGGACAAGCACAGCATGAAGAACCAGTCCCTGTACTACACTCCCAAGGCCTCCCCTTATAAATGGGGAATGAAGGCACATACATCTTCTTGCTGGCTTCTGTTTTCTATATCACTTATAACCCTAACAAGAACACACTCTGTTGGTGTAACTCCTTTCATATATCAATGTTATTATGCCTAACCCAAACTAGAAAATGATACATAATAACCTTAACAGTTGCTCTATCTTTTGTCAGTGTGTGTCGGATTCCTCATCATTACATTCACAGTTACTCTTTTCCTTCATTTCTACCTGACCTGCTTGGGCCTCTGTGTCTCTGGGATTTCGCTGTCTGGGACATAGTTCTGTTTTCTCTGGTCCACTTTGTCAGTAATTACTGCTTTCCGTTTCCAGCTTTCTCAGGAACCTGTGAAGGATACTTTCAAGGACATGTTTCCAGACACTCAGGCCACCCCAACAGGGATCTAGTAAGTGCCATAACAACACTATCACAGTGTGCACAATTAGAAACTCGTCACAGCTTTCTAAGTACAAGAATAATCGTGATTGGATTATCAGCACGTATACCCTTTTGTATTTCAGTGCCACTCGTCGGAAACCCATCAAGGGTGCAGCAGGGAGACCTATCCAGTATGTGTACCCAGACACTCCAGCCAGCCCAACGACCCAGGAGAGACAAGAGGTGGAGCGCCGTCTTGTGCCCATCCAGATACAGATTTTGGTCTTCCTCATTGTGGTAGTTCTCCTATACGTAATTTATGCTTGTGTTGAGGACAACTCATTCAGTCCGTTTGTGGCCTTACTGGAAAGTTTAAACCAGGGGTCAGATGGTGAGGAGGGGCTTTTGCTTCCGGCTGAGACGCAGGACACACCAGCGCTCTCTGGACAGGAGTAACGTATGTTTTCTGTTTTTTTAACCCTCTGCATTGACTTACAGATGTGAGGGTTGCTTTTTTTGATGCAAGCCCAAATTACCTTGTCCTGGGATATCCTCAGGGAGCACATATTACTTTAAATGTGTGACTGTATGGGAGCAAACCTCAAAGTCCAGATTTACATTTGTATATGTCTTTCTTATGGATGTGTTACCACAGTGCTTTTGTCATTGTAGTTGAAACAATTACTAAAACACAGAGATTCAGTTGAAATTTTAAGATTTTCTCAAATTAAAAATAAATTAAGAATGCTGTAATTTTTTCTATTTCCTAATCAAAATTGTGTAATGCGATATCATTGTACTTGTATTATGTGTGTGTTTCTTCTTTTTTAAAAATATTTGAATATTTCAATAAAGGATGTTTTGCTTCATTCTTCTTTTTATGAAATGCTAGAAAGTGAAAAAAATAGGCTACATGCAGATATAAGAAAGACTTTATTGATCCCACACTGGGGAAATTCACACATTACAGGAGCTCCAGATAAAACACAGCAGAAAAAAGTAAAAAATACGAGATATAGGAAAATAGGAAAAATAGAGTTGTATGTACTATTTATACAGCTTTTATACAGATTGCACAGGTTATAGGTTACAGCAGGAGGTAGTGGCATGGTGTAGAAA